TTTTTTTTTGGTACCTGGGGATCAAACTCAGGTCCTTGTGCTTGCAAGGTGATGGAACCACTGAGCTAAATTCCTGGCCCTAAAGCCCCCCTACCTTCTAGTAGCAAGACAACTATGATGTCCCTGTCATTCATTCACCTTCCCAAATCTCCACCTATGATCATATGAAACTTTAGAGAGACATCTACATATAAGTACTGACAGTTGTTTTTTACTCTTTGCAAACTTGACTATGGAATTTTTAATTTCTTGTAATAGAATAACAGATAAAATTGTGCTCTTGCAAATCTTTTGTCTTTTTATACCTAGCCAAGAGTAAAAGGGCTGAACTTGCGATCACTGGATTCCCTCAGATCTAGCCTATTAAAGCATGGAGGAAGTGAAAGTTCAGTGGATTCCACTGTCCCCAAATTTTTGCAGGCAGAAGAAACAGTGAGGTTAAATGAAGAAACAGCAGATTTTCAGGTATTACTAGCAGTGCTTTATTTGCTTTGAACAATCACATACTGATTTTATTCTAAGAAACATATTTCATTTTTTTCTCATTAAAGATAAGAGAAATTTGAGAACTTCAAGGTCATTCTACATATAAGGCTCAAATGGTATTAAGTATAGTTTTCCCCTTTTATTTAGAATTTTGAAGCAGAAGAAACTAACGAAGGCAAACACTTTCCAAACAACTTACTTCCTTTTTGGAACCGAAAAAATGATCCATTGTTTAACAGTGTCAAGGAAGGAAGATTGGAATTTGCATCTATGTTTGATACAATGCATGCAAAGGATGATACCAACGAGACAGATAGAACCATTACAGAAGTGTATTCTATCCAGAAAAATCTACTTGCGGCGTGGACTATAGGAATTTCAAAAAATGTGACTGAAAAAAAATTAATGTTAAATTATACAATAGTTTGCATCACTCATTTTTTCTATATTCTTCAATTTATAAAATGTCCTTTCCCCCAAATTGACCTTTTTTTAAACAAGAGCCTAAAAGATAATGCATGGGTACTTCATATCTTTCAACTTTTCCGTCAGTGTTTGTCCATCCAGTATTGGGATGTAAGATACAAACAAGATCTAGGACATTTGATAAGACTGACCTCAAATACTATAACGCTTTTACTGACTCAGCAACAAAAGGGTCAGTTATTCTCAGAGAAACTTTTAGCCTGTTTTTATTTACTCAGAATGGTAGCTGATAATTTAAATGGCATGTACAGTCTTCAACCTGAACTTATTTCATCATCAGCTAATGGAAGTAAAGCAGCAGAACAAGATTTGTTGGTGTTACCTATTTTTCAAATGTTTCAAGACTGTGGTTCTCAGGAAAATTGGTCTTGGAACTCATATTTCAAGATTCATCCTCAAGGAACAAATCTGGTTCAACAGCCAGGTCACAGGTATAACTAACTTTATTATTAAAATATCATTAGATTTCCTGTATTATACAGTTCACCATTTTAAGGTGTACAATTCAGTGGGGTTTTTTGGGGTTTCTTCTGTTTTTTAGTGAAACTGTTGGTACTAATTCCCATATATTTTCATCTCTCCAGAAAGAAAGCTTGTATTTGTTAGCACTGAAAATTAAACTATTGTTATGTTTAAATATTTAAGTGCATATTCAGAAGATCGTGTTATACCTGATGGTAATATATAGTTTTTATTTGCCAATTTAAAACTATTTCAGGATTTATTACAGATGTTTTACAGCACCTGTATATTTTTAGTCTTGATAGCCATGATATTAGAAGTTAAGTACTATAAGAATATGATCACAACCTGGGTGTGGTGGCATGTGCCTATAATTCCCAGCTGTTTCAGAGGCTAAGGCAAGAGGATCATGAGTTCAAGGCTGGTCTGGGCAGTGTAACAAGACCTCATCTCAAAACCACAGCAGAAACAGACTTAAGTGCCTAAACATTTGTGAAGATTTTTCATACACATTATGTATTTTTTTGATCACTGAAATTTGTGCTATATTTAAATCTGACCAATATATATTAGTACATCAGTGAAAAATATAGGTATAAAAATAGTCTAAAGGGGCTAACCAAATTTATATTGCTAGCCTGAATTTTGGTTTTGATGATTATCTGATTTTGTGTGCAGATTGATTGCTCTCTGGAGAATACTGTACAAAAAAACTTTATGGTATCAAGCACAATTAAGTCAAAGAACTCCTAAGGGTGACAGACAGTTAACTGAAAAGATGACACGTGAAGCAGCTACTGTTAAGTCACTGTTATGTCACATACAGGCTGATTTACAGACTGCTGGAGATCACTTGAATCAGCCCTTAAAACTTACATCTCTTGATGGTCAGTATCTTATGAGCAATTTCTAATTTTATGAATAAGTAAAATTAACTGGACTTTTTTAATGGGGTAAAATTTTTTGTTTTTAAAAATAATTTCTGTCTGAGAGATTTCCACTGAATGTTAAAAGAATTTAAAGTTTTACAGAGTAGTGTAATTAACTATGCTGTTTTTAAAAAAACTTCCTAGGTGAAGAGAGTTTTCTGTTAGGATCATATGAAAAGGCAGTTCAACTGTGGAAGAAGACCCTTCAAGAAACCCAAGAGAAAGGTAGTGGGTGCTAAAAGATGATTTTTCTGCAGCATGTAAAAATAATTCCAAAGTTCAGAGTGCTTACAGCATCTTAATTCTTGTCTAAATCACTTTCTCATTGATGGAACACAATCCCTGACAATCCCAGAATTTAGTTTAGTTAGTTTTTTTCCCTCATTGAGTTTATTGGTACATTGTAGGTATACAGTACAGTTACATTCTTCATTGGGATCTTGTACCTTTACATTACTGGTCTTGGTTCTCGTTTTTTCCCCGTCCCTGCCCTCCCTTCACCCGCTCCTCTCCAAGGAGGAGAGGTTTATTTGGCTCATAGTCATAGTCTGAAGTCTGCTGGCTCCAAGGCAGGACAGCACAGCATAGAGGCATGGTGGAGGAAATGCTGCCCACCTCATGACAGAATCAAAGAAGAGTCAAGGAAGGAGTGGGCAATGGAGGTAAAACCTTCAGGCCATACCCACAGTGACCACCTCTTCTCAACAGGCCCCACCTCCTAACAGCAAGTCAGCTATAACACCCCTATAATCCAGTCACCTTCCAAAGGACTTTGGGGGGATAGCTAGATACAAACTGTAACAGTGCTCAAATAGAATATTTGTCATGCAGGTCCCTGTACTGTTAGAGATAATTTTAAATTATCCTTAGTTTTGAATTTGTGGCACAAAAAAAAAACTTTTTTGAAGATCTCTAGTTAAGTCTCATTCTGTCCTTGTTTTTGGTTAGTGATGAAACCTGTGGTTGATCATTAATTGAGAAAAATGAGATTTTGATTCTAAATAATGGTTTGTATCATTGAGAGGAACTTAAATATTGAAGGGAGAAACTTGATCATACATTTCACCATCTTCTTAAAGACCTAGAGAAATATGAAACTAAGGCTTCTTGCCCTGGAGTTATTTAAGAATTTCCTATTAGTTGAGCACATTATTGGGTTGGGTATAGTCAAGTTTTTTATTAGAATACAGGGATGTTGATTCTACACACTGGTGACATGGTGTATGTTACAGATCTGAGGTGTGGCTGAGAGGTTCTCAGCCGGTGACCCTGGCACTAATTGACTGCAACTACTACATGTTAGATTGGGCTGAGTAGTACATTTATTTTACATCTGCTGTAACTTTGTTTACTTTATTTATTCATCTACTTAAATCGGTATTTACTGGGTGCCTGTTGTGTGTGTCCAGCACTGTTCTAGGTGCTAAGGATAAGTGAAACAAACAACTACCTTCAAGTTGTCCATAGTCATTCAGTAGAGCAGTTCAGGCAGTCTGAGGCTGGGTGCAAACTGTGGGGGAAAACCTAAAAGAATGGACATTTTAAATGGAGTAGAAGTTGATCAGTTAAGGCAGTTTAACTGAGTTTGGTTTAACAGAGGATATAAGTGTGTAATATTTGTGGGAGGATGGTGTGATGTGGTTAGAGAACAAGATGAAAGGTCTTGTATGGTGTGCCAGGTAGGAAAGGGATCCATTTAAAACAATATAGCAGGTCCCCAACTTAGTGATGGTTTGACTTAAGATTTTTCAGCCTTTTGATGGTGTGGAAGCAATAAGCATTTAGTAGATATCTTACTTCGAATTTTGCACGTTGACCTTTTCTTGGGCTGGCAGTATATAGTTCATGATGTACAGTACTCTAGTGGTGCCTGGCAGTCACACTGAATCACAGCTCCCGGTCAGCAACACAATCTTAAGGATAAGCAACTGGTATAGTGTATAATGTACTGTGTTGCTAAGCTACAATGTTTAGTGTGTTAAGTGCATTTTCAAATTATGGTATTTTCAATTTAAGATAGGTGGACATGTTGATGACAGTGCTGTAATTTGTATGTCTTGCTGTGAGGCAGCTTGAAGCACCAGTGGTATATGCATGACTGGCCCCTGCATGACTGTACCACTTCTGCCATCAGTGGTATAAGCCACCCAATGGGATACTCATGGGTGTACCACTGGTAGTTCAAGGTGTCAGGAATGCATTGGAATGTAACTGTATCGTAAGTCAAGGTATATCTATCTGTCTAGGTCATTTGGAAAGGTCATTTTGATACACTATGGAGGGTCAATTGCAGGACCATGGTGTTAGGATGTGGGTTTTACCCAGAAACAAGAAAGTTAGTCAGATGTAGATATTAAAACAAAGCAATGTCAAGGGTCATGGAATAGAGGTCATATTAGTTGGGTATTTAATAAGTTTGATTAATTGGATTTGTGATTTAATAGATTTAATGTTCTCAGATTTGGAAATTACCCAACTGTCATTCAGTGAGATGGGAAGTTCTTTATGAAGAAAGGGATTTTCATAATGGGATCTATTGTGGATATTTTATGTAAATTTTATTTATAACTGTAGCCATTAGGAGTAGCTTCTTGTAATGGAGACTAAAAGTGGCAGTGGCTTCGTAAGAAAGTTTATTTGTCTTATAGAAGGAGCGAGACTAGGGCTGCTTTGGTGTTTCCAAGGACCCAAGGTACTTTAGTTTTTCTGTATCATTGCTAGTGCATTGCTTCCAAAGTTAAGGCCATTATATGGGCTAAAATGACAGCTGGAACATCCACGTTCTAGGCAGCAGACAAGAATTGGGTGATTAGAACAGGAAAGGACATGCTATACCTCCTAGCTGACTTATGTCTCTTTAAGAGTTTTTTTGAAAGTTCTGTACAATATTATGACTTTGTTATGATTACATCAAGTGAGAAACTATGATCTTGGTGGATTGTAGCCCAAAGTATTGGAATTCTTTACTCAATAAGAATAGATAAGAAATCTTATTAGGATCTTCTGTATTATTGCAGATTATTCATTCACACCAGAGAAGCTATTCGAGGGGGTGAAGGGAGGGCAGGGACAAGGGGAAAAAATGAGAACCAAGACTTGTCATGTAGAGGTACAAGATCCCAACAATTAATGTAACTGTACTGTATCCCTAAAATGTACCAATAAACTCAATTAAAGCTGAAAAAAAAAAAAAGAATAGATAAGAGATAGGCAGCAAGCAGTCTCAGTCCTAAACAGATATTTGAAGGCAGTTGTTAGGGCTCCTTTTTTATTGAACTGTTGTTTCTTTTCCTTCAGGAAGCTCTTTGACCATCCTTTTCATATATGAATGATGCCCTGGGGAGTTTTGGCCATGCTTCCTTCTGTTTAATATCTGCATTTGAGACAGAAGTTATTAGTGGACCTCATTACTGAGATATTTAGAATTTGCAGGTCTCTTTAGATAAAATCTTAGTTATCCTAAGCCTTAAAAATAAAAGAAAATTGTTCAGAATTTAAAATGAAAACAGCAAGGTATTGCTGACCTCTTTAAAAATGTTTTCTTGAGTTATAAAACGGATATGTAGAAAGTTTACATAAATGTATAGCTTGATGAATTTTCATAAATTACACACTTTTCTCTAACACTAGCCAAAGAGCATGTAAAGTGAGTTTAATTCTTTCTTGTTCCAGGAGGAAGGAGAATTTGTTTGCTTCAGATACGCTATTATCTTTCTCTCTTGTACTGCCATCTCTATACCTATAATTTAAATGATGCTCAAGGATTGTGTGATCAGCTGGTAAGAGAAATACTGAGATGGTCCCAACTGCCTGTAAAAGAAAATGAAGATTATTTAGGTATGCTTTTAAAAACTCAGTATATGTAATCTTGTTAATTGTATTTATGAGTTTATAGAAGTAATTTCTTATGCACAAAAGTTGGTTGCCCTGTCTCTACTGTACCTAAATTATATTAAATTAGATTTTAGACTGTCAGCTTCTTTTTTGTCAATTGTTTTTTTTTTTTTTTCTTGGGACCTTGTGCTTGCGAGGCAGGGTGCAGAACCACTGAGCTAAATCCCCGGCTCTGTCAACTTCTTTTTTTTTTTTTTGGTACTGGGGATCGAACTCAGGTCCTTGCACTTGCAAGGCAGGCCACTGAACCACTGAGCTAAATCCCCGGCCCCTGTCAACTTCTTAATAGCTAGGATCATGTTGAGTTTTTTAATTTTGTTTTTAATCTTACTATCCACAGGTTTTATCAGTAATTGCCTGCTAAACATAACAATTTTTCTCACTTGTTTGCTTTAACATAATATCATATACCCAATTATTTTTCCTTAATATATTTGTATTTTCTTCAAGTTTTACTTAAAGTGATTTATAACAGTTCTGAAAAGCAATTTCTGTGGTATTCTGAGTCTTTCAAAATTTGTTTTAAAAAATATAGAATATCTGGATTGTCTTTTTTCCAAGAGATATATTTCTTTTGTATTTTAATTTTTTTTTCCAAGAGCTATATTTAAATGAACCAGAGAGAAAGAAAGATACATATATGTGAATGGGCACTTAATGTATTTATAATCATAAGATGTTAGACTAGTATATACACACTGTACATATGAATGTGTCTGAAAGGCTCAATATAACAGTATTTTTTCTGTTTATTAATTTTTATTTGTATATGTTTGTGATACATAAATACATTCATCATGAGGAATTGGTACATAAATATATATATCACATCTGTAACAAATTTTTTAATATATCAAATTTTTAAGTGAAGTCCATACCATTTTTTTACACGGAATCCTGGGTCCTTGCGTTTGCAAGGCAGGCCACCAAACCGCTGAGCTAAATCCCCAGCCCCTGGAATCCCAGCCTTTTTCTTCTTATTATTATTACTGTTTTAGTGGTGCTGGAGATTGAACTTATGGCCTCATAACACTAGACAAACGCTGTACTACTGAGCTACATCTCGGCACGATAGCTTTTTAAATTTTAGTGTTCATTATGGAATAATACATGTTCATTTTAGATAATTTTGATACAGTTGCTTATAAGTGTACTACTGTTTTGCCTAGGGCATTTCAATGTATACATTTATATATTTATATCCATCAATTTAGAGGTGCCTATGTTTTGTAATCCTCCCCCTTCAGTTTTGTAATCTTCTTAAATTTAATATTATTAGTGTTTTCCAATGTCAGTAGTGTTCCCTTAAAAACACTCTTGTAAAAGTATCTATTGTATTATTTCACATTTTAAGCTATAGCCATTTATTTATTTTAAAGAAGGCTGCAGTGTACATAAATATTTGTTAGCATTATAACATTTTTAGGGTAAATTCCTAGAAATGATTTAACTGAATCAAAGTACCCATATTTTGCTGGGGATTTAGCTCAGTGGTTCTGCCTTCTGCCTCGCAAGTACAAGGACCCGAGTCCAATCTCTGGTACCCCCCCAAAAAAAAGTACCAACATTTTAAGACCTTTAATTTCTATTCTTAGGTTTCTCCTCCAAAAGATAAACTTGCTGTATATGAATGAAAGATTTTTGTGTATGACTTTTTAAATAGAGATTCTTCATTTTTTCACCAATATCTTTATGATGATTTTGCTTTCAGGAGAAGTTGAATGTATAATTCATTTATTTTAATTTTTAAATGATGCTTATTTAAGAAATAATAAGCATATACTTATTAGGTGAAGAGCCCCCAAGACTACTCCCTACGTTTGGCAGTCCACTAGAAGAGTCGCATGACTCAGCATACATTTGTACCCAAAGATGTGATTTATATAACGAAAGGAGTCAGGGCAAAATCAGCAAAGGAAAAAGGGACCTGTGGTGAGGCCTGGAGAAAGCCAAGTCCTCTCCCCATGGAGTCACACAGGAAGTCCATGATTCCCCATTGTTGAGTTGTGACAGCACATGTGAGATGTTGTCTGCTGTGGATGCTCATTAGAGACTCTGCACAGGGTTTTAATTGGTGGCTGATCACATAGCTTCCTTTTGCAAAGCACATAAAGTCCCATACTCCCAAAGGTAAAACAAGTGTTCAGCGTAAACCACATTGTTTTTGCAAACATTGTAGGCCCAGTGAGCCATTTTTAGCATGGCTTCTAAAAAGCCAAGATCCCAAGTGTCAAGGAAAAGCCAGCCTTATAAGTAGACATTTTAAGCTATAAGCCTGTTAACTCTTTTCTGCATGCCTACCTCATTAAATCATTGTAGTTATAATTTCATTTTTGTTGTATAAAGTTGCCATTATTAACATCATTGTGGCCTATTCAGAATTATCCCTGCAGCTTTTCTTCTGGTACTGGGGTTTGAACCCAGGGCTTTGTGCTTGCTAAGCTATCCTTGACCTGGAGCTGAGAAATTTTAATGAAAATTAACTTCACCACCACCCACTGTCATTCTTTTTGGTTTATACTCTACATTCTTTTCACTGCTACCCCCAAAAGAGCCTAATACTAGTGTGCCTTTACAATGAATTCTCAAATTTAATGGTATAAAAAAACACTAAGAATTGCTGTCTTTGTGCTTTATATTAAACACTACCCCTTCATCCAAAAAACAAAGGAAATGAAAAAGGGAAATAAATAATGAAATAAAAATGCCAAGCTTGCAAGGCCAACATGTTAGATAATTTTGTAGAGATTCATTGATTTTAAAAATGAAACTATTAGCCAGGTTTGGTGGTGCACACCTGTAATCCCACCACTTGAGAGGCTGAGGCAAGAAGATTGCCATGAGCTTGAGGCCAGCCTGGGCTACATAGTGAATTCAAGGCCAGCCTGAACTGTATAGGAAGACCTTGTCTTACAAAACCGAAAAAATAAAAAAAATGACTAAAACTGTGAACAATTTCTAAGGGTATGTACTTATAAACTAATAATTTTTATTGCCTTTAGAAAGTATGGATGGATGCCTATGATAACTTAGCGTGTTTATGCAGTTGGTGCTCATCTCTGAAAAAAATTTTAGTTATAATTTACTTCTTGTATAATGGCCTTAAGTGTAACTAGTTTTTGACAATTTGATCAGAATCCTCTTCGGTATTGTATGCCTAGAATGTATCAATAAACTCAATAAAATAAAAAAAAAAAAGAATCCTCTTCTGTCATTTGCTCTCTTCCTTAGGTTTTGAGAAGCCTCCTGGTAAGTCTGCAGGAGCTGGAAATGTCCATCCTGAGGCAGCTGTCAGAGTTGTCCAGTCCATGGCTCGTTTCATGGCTGCCTATTTCACCAATCAGATGCTTGGTGTTTTGCCACCTCATAATGTCAGTGTTCTTCCTCCACTTCATGTTAAAACAGGTAATAGGGTGAATGAATAATTTTCTCACTTTTTTTGTCACATAATATGTAAAGCCACAGTACACAAAGATCATTATTCTATGAAATAACACTGTTCTAGCATAGCACTTGACATATAGTACATGCTGAAGGACTATTTATGAACAACTAGAATCTGAGAAAGTCATTTTGTTTTTATTGAATATAGATTTTTACCTAATTTGGCCAAATTAATATTTGTAAATGTTATGGGGGGGGTTTTTGTTTGTTTTGTTTTCTTTTCTTTTTTGGTACTGGGAATTAAACCTAGTGCCTTCACACTGAGCTACAACCTCCTACCCTTTTTTTACTTTTTATTTTCAAGACACGGTCTTGCTAGATCATTAAATTGCCCATGCTGGCCTCATGTTTGAATCCTACTTCAGAGTGCTGGCATTGCAGGTGTGCGTTACTGTGCCTGGCTTAAAGTTTTCTTTTTTTTTTTTGCTACTGGGAATCGAACTCGGGTCCTTGTGCTTGCAAGGCAGGCAGTGGAACCGCTGAGCTAAATCCCCAGCCCAACTTTTCATTTTTAAAGCCATGGTGGTATATCTTTAGTCCCCAAACTTGGGAGGCTGAGGCAGGACAATCACAGTGAGTTCAAGGCTGGCCCCAGCTACATAGTGAGTTTGAGACCAGCCTGAACTACACAGCAAGACCCTATCTCAAAAATAAATAAAGTGAAAGAAATGCCACCTTAATTTTTTTGGAGGGGTACTGGGGTTGAACTCAGGGCCTTGCACTTGCAAGGCAAGTTCTGAACACATTCTTAAACACTATAAAATTGTAGAGGCTCACCTTTTTCTCATGTAAATGTCTTTCTAGTTAGGTGAAAGTAGGAAAAGTTTTCATACTGTCTTTTCCTACACTAGAGATTATTAAATATCTGTATCTATGCCTTAGTTTTTCAGTATATTGAAAAATGATAAAATCAACAGTCTTAACTTAGAATACATTTTGTATTAATTTGTTCAGGACTAAGGGCACAGTCTGGCATAATGAGACATGCCTATAATTAGCTATTTGGGAGGTAGAGGCAGGAGAATCACAAGTTCAAGGCCAGCCTGGGGAATTTAGCACGAACCTGTTGGGCGGTTGGATGGATGGACAGATGGACAGATGGATGGATAGGCTAAGGATAAAGCTCATAGTAGAGTGCCCCTGGGTTCAATCTCCAGTATGGCAGAAACAAAAACAAAAGCAAAAAAAGCCCTAAGGCTAATTGTATGGGATTTGAGTAGCTTATTTGATGTGATGTTTAGAAAAGTAGGAAGCTTTGTTCACTGTGTAAAAGTAGTAATAATTTTAGAATATTAAATATTCAAATTAATATAGTAACTTGCTTATAGTGCATTTAAAAAACAGAAAAAATACAATCAATATCTTTGCTATTTTGCCAGTACAGAACCAGATAGTCCAGTGATTGAAATTTTTTTGTCTTTATTCATATGTGTTTATCAAAGAGCTAAAATGTTAATGCTTGCTGTAGTTATAGGTTATATAGTTTGTACAGGAAACTAATTCAAATGGCAGAAATCCACATGCTATTTATTGCTTTTATTTTGATAGAATGAAAATCCTATTAATAGGTGCTTTTTAAATAACATTTCTTTTTTTTTTTTTTTTTTTTTTT